CCTCCATTCTTCATTACCTAAGGCGCAAGGGGTGGGGAAATGAGCAGGAGCAGCATGTGAAGCAGCTCGTGCTACAACTCAGTCTGCTTTCATCCCTCAAGTGAATGCAAACAGGCTGCTGTAGGCAATATGCAGGAGCATATTACCATGCAAGATAGAGCCCTATAAAGTATGTAATCAATTTGTTATCAGTGTGAGGCACAAAGAAATCAGATTTTCAGTTTCTAAAACATTATAAAAATAGTTTTATTCTTTTATCTATTTATCATTTAACTGTTTTGTATGTTTGTGTTGTCTGTGCACTGATAATGACTGCTCAGTATTACATATTTTCTTCATGAAAAGTTGTGTTCACAAAAAATATCCACAATTAAGAATACATGGACAAAAATTTTCTGATAACCTGAGAGTTTTGACCTGAACTTTTGTCCTCTTTGACATGCCATTGGTTTTTTTATGGTACATTATTATACTTGTTAGATTATATGCTCAAAACACGCAGCTTTGGAAAGAGAAGTTGATAAATGGGAATTATTACCTATATCTATGTAAGAAACCACTAAAAGGAACCTTATAAATTATATTTAAATATGACCTCCCCCTTATTCAAGCTGTGTGAGCCATCTAATGTTAAAGTCATGCCAGTGTATGACTTTCCAAATTTCAGTACTACTGCAGTTTTCCAGTTCTGCCATGATCTACTGAGCTTTTCATTTTAATGCTGGAGTATTTGTTCAAGTCCGCAGATTTTGCATTTTTAATCTTCCTTAGAACAGTGGTGAATAATGGCCTTTGGCAGGAGATAATGAAATTTTCTTAATTTGTATTTTCAAGCAGAAGCCTCAATTGAAAATGGCATTCTATGGCCTGGAGGCATAGCTCTGGTGCATGTTTCAGGGGAACTGTAATAATAATGCAATGCCATCAGTGACGGAGAATGATAGGACAGTGAAGAAGTAATTTAAGGAAGAAAAGAGAATGTACGAAAGCTTTATTGTAGCATATCTAATGATCTGCTGAAGATTCCCAATGGCTTTTGGAGTATGACAGAAGAAACTAATGTTATCTTGCCAAAACAGAAGCCCCTGCTTAATCAGCAAAATAAGACTATTGATTAAAACACCTCACACAATACATTACACGCGGAATCTCATCTCCATACTTTGCACTTGGTAAAGTATAATAATGAGCATAAGGTAATCAAAAGAAGAGCAGAAGCAATTTGTTGGGAATTGTACAAGTCAAGATTAGAGTTTAAATGCAAACAAATTAGCATGGAAAGTACAGCTGTCTTTAAAGCTGAACACATGAAGGTAACATATAGTACAGGGAGAGATTTGTGGTGGGTAAAATACTTGCTGTAGCCATACTGCCACTTGTTTCATTTACCATTTTCTCTTATTTTCATCTGATCTGTGAAGGGGCCATTCCTACATTTGTACAATTGTCCTCCTGAGGTGAATAGAGTTCAACATTGTTCTGTAACTGTTAATTTAACTCTGTGTTTGATTTCAGATTACCATAAGTGACATCTCTGCATTATGAAAATTAACCTTTTCATTCATAGTAAAAGGATGGAGAAAAGGCATTAGTAGAGTACACAATTACACCTTAACATTATACTCCAGCAGGCTAGTGTACTACTTACGTTTCCTCCTGGAAAATTCTTGCCTTTCTTAACATAACAGGCTAAGTAGTCATTCCTTCAGCACTGCAGTTAATCTCTGCTTAACTAGGGTTTCTAATTTAATTCCTTTTTTTTTACAAATGAATACTAGTTTTTACAAATCAGCTATCACTGCATTTATATAAAGCCTTGCACAAATCAGGTTTATTTGCTTGTAAGTGACAAATTCATTGTTTCATAAGTCTTTGTAAATATTGTGGGTGCCTTAAATGTTACTGTTACGTCTTAATTATTTAGCGTGACAGTCTCTGGAGGCTAAAATTATTTTTTCTTGGTAATTATTAATATTTTATATACATTTTATGTTGAAAATGTAAAAGGGTGTTATTCCTGTTCACTGGAAAAAACCTGAAATATTCAGGAAAGAGTGGGATTCAGGGCCTTTTAAAAGTGTTTTTCTTTTAAATGCTTTTCTCAGCAAACTAGAAAATAATTGAAAAGCACCATCCATAATTCCTGATATAACATCTTACTTATTCTTGTACAACTTAATAAAATGAAATAATAAAATAAAAGTGAACTCCATCTCTATAGGAAGTCAGTGGAAGTTGCAGATGAGTCATGCAGCCTAGGAATCAGACTCTTAAGAATCCATTTTGTTTTTATGACTCCAGCATTTTGTTTTTAAGACTTCAGAAGGTCCTTTAATGAGTTGAGTGCGTTTTTTAGGTATTTTTTATAGGAAGTTTTGAGTGGAACAAAATTTTGTCTCCAAATTTCTGAGTTGCAGTAATGATTTTGTTGCTGTTGTCAGATAATGAGGATTGATTTGGAGCTGTAACAAGGATGCATAGTATCTCCCCTCTTTGTTCTCGTGGTGTATTTAACAAAGATAAAAAAGCGGAAACTGCGTACAAAAGTGGCGTTTAGCAGAAATTAGTCTCTGTGCTCAGATGATGCTACACTGAGGGCTTGTCTACACTTGTAGTGCTGCAGCGGTGCAGCTGCGGCACTGAGTGAAGATGCTACATAAGCTGATGGGAGAGCTTCTCCCATTGACGTAGGTACTTCACCTCCTCAAGAGGTGGTAGCTATGTTGAAGGAAGAATCCCTCCTGTCAGCACAACACTGGGGGTTAGGTCTGTATAACTGTGTCACTCAGGAATGTGGAAAATCCATATCAGTTGGTAGTGTAGACTAAGACTCAAACTGTCTAGGCCTGTTAATTTTTAAGGGACCTTCCAATATAAAGTCCCAATGTGTTTTTAAAAATTAAGATTTTGGGATATATAAAAAATCAGAGAATTCACAAATGAGCATCAGAAAACTATGTAAGGGAACTGTAAATGTAGGTGGACACAGAACACTCAAGTAATCCCACATTCCAGAAAACTATACAAATTTAATGACTGGCCTATAGCTAGAACAATTTTAAAATAGATTTGGATAGATGGACCAAGCTGACAATATGCTGGTTAGAAAAGATGACATCGGTTACAATGAATGTACTTCAAGTTAATTATTAATGACATTCCTTCTCTAATGGTGTCTAATACATTTTTACCAATTAGCAGTACCTTTATTTCCATATCTATTTGAGGTTGGAAATCCCCGTGAGCTAGCAGCTTTCAGAATAGGGGTTTCTCTGTCTCAACAGGATGGCAGGTGAAGGAGAAGAGAGCAAGACAGAGAGATTTTGTTGCACAGATTCTATTAGTGTAATAGAATTTGGCTGTGTATCACACACTCAATTTTCATGGCATCTCAAAATGATGAAGTAATAATTAGAGTGGTGACTATGTAAGTTTGGTAATCTGTTTGTTTAATTTTATTTGCTTCTGTCACTTTTGGCAGCGGCACCTAGATCCTTTGATAAATACCCCTTTTATTTTTTTGTATAAATCTAAATAAATAAATGATCAGATCAGCCATTATAGATATAGACATAATTTTATGGAGAGGAGAAATGTTGGCCAAGATACCAGCATTTAACCCTTCCTCTTCTTCAAAAGATACTTGAAGAAGTGGTGGGTAAAAAGAATCACATATTAATGACTTATCATAAGGACAGCACTTTTTTTTTTTTTTTTAAGAGAAAGTGTCCGTCCTAGAGATTGAAGTCTCCATATATCCAATAGCAGGTAGCAAAAGTGCAATCTTCCCATACTGCCTATCTGTATGTCTGCGGAGTACCTTTACTGGCATAGAAGTAGTTGAGTCCAGGGTTTCTCAACTACTTGGGTCACAACCCAAAATTGGGTCGCCACAATGGGCCAAAAGGTTGGATGGGAGGCTGGGGGATCGGGTTGGGTCCTGCTGATGGGAGGATAGGAATGCTCACCTTGCACTCATCCAGAGCTCTTGCAGTTCTAGCTGGGTTCAGCTCCCCATTCCAGGCATTGCAATCTGGTGCACGGAGTCACAGTGCTGACAGGTTTGGACCAGCTGCCTCTCTGTCACGATGATGGGGGGCTGGCCAGGCCATATTTGAGGGAGTGGAGCTGTGATTCTATGTGCCAGGTTGCATGTCAATGACACAAATTTGGCCTGGCCAGTCCCTCATCATAGTTTGGGCTACATTCCTTTTTCGACTTCCCCAATCCCTCACACAAGGCATAGGAGAACAGGAAAGCCCTAATTTGGAGAAATTGTTAAATTTCAGTTTAAACAACTCTCTGACGATTCAGCAGTTTTAACTGTTATTTTAAAATATCCTCATCCGGTCATTCTTTGCAGTGACTTCTCCTACTTCCTATAACCTACAGAGAAATGGCCATGTTTTCACTGGGAAGTTTAGCAATACATCAATTGTTCCTTAAACTTCTATGAGTTTGAAAGTTCATGTTCTTGATCTGTAGTAAACCCTCAAACCAAAATCACAGCTCTCTTTTGGTACAGAAAACAAAGCTTGTCTGAGATGCAGAAACATTCAGTAGCGTGTACATGTCTAAAGAGCAAAGGAATTGGTTCTGGCATAAGCAAAGCCATGTCAGAACTATTCATATTGGTTACTTAGTGCTGTTTTAATTTGCAAATGTCTCACATTGAAACAATGTACCATATTTATTTATTACATGCTTTATTGAGTATCAGTATGGAGCCAGCGGTGTAGTTACCTCAGTCAAAGGGGAGGAGTTAATATTTGGAGTAACATTGACTCCCAGATCTAAGTGTATGAAGCTTGAACTGAAATATTATCTTGACACTTTATTTATGGCTGTTGACTGATCTAATATTAATTATTTCTGTTTCCTTATTGACTGGATTGCCCAAGTATGAAAGGAGTCTGCTCTGCATTACACTGTTTTGGTATAAACTTGCAAACTAAAATCTCATTTTAAATTAATTAGCTTACTTCTTGTCCCCTTTACAGGTGCAACAACCGAACACAGTGTATAGTAGTTACTGGGTCAGACGTGTTTCCTGATCCTTGTCCTGGAACGTACAAATATCTTGAAGTTCAGTATGAATGTGTTCCTTACAGTAAGTATAAACTTTTTTGGTTCTTGTTCACTTCCTCCAGCCTTCACACTTAATGCTGGAGCACTACTACATGCAAAAGAAGCATATGTCTATGGCCTACAGAACCATTATGCATGCAGAGCACTTACAGACTAGGGCCTCCAATTAGCTTCACGAAGTGTGGAAGGAAGCCATAGTGTGATGCTGGCCAAGTGTCTGTCTGTGTTCTTGAGTGTTTGGCTTTTAAGGCTACTGTTTTTCAAGAAACAAACTTGAATTAGCTATTCAGTAGGCCAGATAGAAATTTGTTCTTTTGCCCAACACCAGTTGCTGACAAATTGGTTTGGCTCACAGTTTTCTAAAGAAGGAATTGACTTCAATTTTAATCATTACCAACTTGAAAGGCTACCTGCCGTGTGGTTACCTTGGGTGTATGACAGAACCCACTACAGAGGTATTGGAGGCAAGTGTCTCAGTTATTATTAAATTTTGCAAGAAAGCTTTGTGCTTTCAGGTTAAGTTGCACATTCACAAGTGCACATGAATTCAAAATTAATAATTTATTAATAAATTGAAAAAATATCTCTTAGTAACACATAGGAAAAATAAATAGACATTCATCTTTAACATAAATGAAAGAATTTGTTTTGTGACTGGAAATAATCTTTCAAAAATAATATTTTAAAATTTAATACCAAGAATGAAAAATCAGTAGTCCGTGGCACTACAGCAGTTTTGCACAATGTTCTTTCTAATGCCAGAATTCAGGAGTATTTACATTTATAATTAAAATTGTGGGTTTTTTTAACTGAAGAGTGTTTCAGTTTTTAAAAGTTATGCTGATTCAACACTTTCACCTGTTTTCATTTCTTCTTAAGATCACTCTTTGGAGTGACTTCTCCCTCTTCCTTTAATCCAGCAGAGAAATGGCCATGCTTGCAGTGTGAAGTTTAGCAATACAGTGATTGTTTCATAAATTCCAACAGTTTTTAAGGTTAATGTTCTTGATCTCAAACCAAAACCGAAACTTTCATTTGGACAAAAAACAAAGCTTGTTTCAGATACAAAACACTCTCAAGTAGCAGAAAACACACATCAGAAACAAAAGGGAATGAGTTCTGGCATAAGTAAAGCCATGCCAAAACTGTCCATATTGGTTTTTGCACATTGTTTTGAAATGCAAACTTCTTAAACCAAAACAGTGCTCTATATTGCTTCACTACTTTAGCTTTATTCAGCATCCGTTAAAGGCCAAACACAGATCACCTCTTGTTTTCATCCCTGCTGTGTATTTTTGTGGTGTTGTGATATGGATGCTTTATGATCTTTTTCTATACCCTTTGTAGGTTGGACGCCTACTTTATACACTGCTCATTGGTACCTTTCCTCCCATGTGTAATATTGGTGACTCGTTGTAACCTTTTTTCTTGTCCCACTTTTGATGAGTTACGTTTTGTCCCAATCTAACCAATATTATTTTGTTTAATTAAAGTCATTTTTACTTCAGCACAATTTCTGTTCCCAAATTCCTAGAAAAAGGGCAGTGCATCTTATTCCAAAGCATGAGGTCAATCAAATGCCAAAAGGTTATTTTTTCCGTGGAGCCAGTTCCAGTAGGCCAATCTAGAGAGAAAAGTATTATGCAAATATTATCAAACTTTAAAACAATTTTCTATGCTGTTTTAGGGAGACATGTGTGGATATATTCTACTGATTGGGTATTCCTATCTACAGGGACTTTTCTTTTTCAGTTATCAGAAGTATAGTGCCACAACGCAGCCTACGCTGAACTCTAACTTGTAGCCGTTCTATTCCTTAAAATGTTTGCTTTGTTTAATTCCATTGACGCCCCTTGTGAATTATTCTGTTATTATTAATTATCCTGGACTCTGGAGATAGATGGATAGATATCCTCCCCCCCCCCCCCCAAGTGAAGATTAGGAAGTTGTAACTGCAGCTTGCATAGTGGTGACCACCAGGAGTAGTTACAACATTGTCACAGGAATTATCCTATTGGCAACCCCCAGAAGATTTGATGAATCAGTCCGGATAAGCTTTACTATTCAAAGGCTTACCCTAACCTTGTGATGTTTCACTATCCCTTCCCTTTTTTTCTCTTCCCTCTGATTACTTCCCGACATCTATCCCTATATTTCCAAAACTACTTCTCTCTGATGCCCAACAAAAATGCATTTATCAGTTCTAGTGTTCTCTCCCTTCTGGGCTGGGTCTGACTGCTCTATTTGAATCTTCAGTGCTCTGAGCCCTTTGTGGCACTTAAGAACACAGTGCTGGCATGTAGAATACCTGAAATCCCAAGGTTTGCAAATTTCAGTTGGCCCAACGTAAGAGTTCGACTCATGTTAGATCCCTTAGGAAGGATTTCAAAAAGGTCGTCTAGGCCTTTTGGAGGTCTAGGTGAGGGAAGAGATTACTGATCCCTACATTTTCAAACCTAAAAACAAAAAAGTTCTTGTTCCTGTTCTTATTTTTCTGAACTGGTCTCTTTTTCCTATCCCTTCACCCCCAAATCTTTAATTATCACAAGATTTTGTTTTTAAAAAAAACCTATGAAATCTCATGGTCACTTCCATTCTGTCCATGAGAGAGAGTAAACATGGTTGAGAGTGTGAGATTTTGTGGTAAAAGATATAGCTCTCTCACACATTGAATTTAATGTCTCACCCTTGGATAGTGTGTAGCATACTAGCTTTTCCACGTCTTGCTGGTCTCCATAAATACATAGCTACCTTGCTGACCATGCGTATTGCTACAGCTCCCTGGGTTCTATGTTCATGGTCCTCATAACGAAATCCTTTATGAGAAGCTTCTTTTGTTTGCCTCTCAAAATTCATATCTATTGCTGATATTTTTCTAATCCTCTTCAATAAAAATGATCTTTTGGGATGCTCGGGTGAATCTCCATTAAAAATGGAATTCTAAACAAATCTGATATGCATTGCTTTGTCCTAAAATTAGAATGTTATTGATTGAATTACAGAGAAATTGAGAGTGCCCTACTTGACATTTCTCTCAATTATGCTGAACAATATATGTTGATACTTTGATTGAATAACAGAAGTCAGCTCTTGTAGGATTAATAAGCACATCAGAAGCACTACTTCCTACATCTATGCATGAAATTTTATTTTAAGTCTTATTTGGACTCAGGAATTCAATGGAAGACATTTTAAAAGTGTTTTATTGCTCTCTCTATTGATTGGACTTTGAAGCATTTGTTTACTTCAGTAAGCCCATCTGTCCCTGAAAAGCGTACAGCTGTACACAAATGTACTCAGAACAGACATGCCATTAATGATTTTTGTTATCCGTGTCTTTTCACAACTGCCCTACTCTTACTAATTCTAAGCAGGTACAATATTGCTCTTTGCTGAGAAATAAGCTCATGCATCATAGTTCACAGATGGAATCATCTGAATGTCACTATCAGAATTGTGGCAACCTAAAAATTCTGTTCTGTTTACTTTTATAAGTCCATAACCACAAATAGCAGGAAAATAAGTATGTTATCTGAAGATGTATAAATGAGCAAGGCTAGGAAAAATACCATTCATTTCAAAAACGGTAACCAAAAAAAGGTTTCTAAATTGTCCCCTGAAGAAATATTAGATCGGTTTGGTCAGTGCTGTTCTCACACAATAGCACAGGTAATGTTGTTAAATGAAACCAAAAATCCACAATCTTCTGTGGAAGAAAGAAATACATTTCCTAGATAATACCATAATACTGTAGTTTTCATACGCTTCTTTGGTATCAACAAATACTGTTACAAAGGAGTTGTACAACTGGCATTGTCCAGGTCATTTATTGAAACTGAAGGAACGTACTTCAAAATTCCCACTGACAGAGTGAACTGTTTTTTGTGGCTAGTAGTTATTGGGACTTTGGTTGTAACACCCTTCATGTAACTACATAATCTATTCCTTTAAACGTCTTTGGGAAAGAATTGCTTCAGTAATATAACAATTCTGCTAATCAGGTTTGTTTTATGAAGCACTTTCCTTTCATGACAGGTTTCAGAGAAGCAGTCGTGTTAGTCTGTATTTGCAAAAAGAAAAGGAGTACTTGTGGCACCTTAGAGACTATAGCTCATGAAAGCTTATGCTCAAATAAATTTGTTAGTTTCTGAGGTGCCACAGGTACTCCTTTTCTTTTTCCTTTAATGGTGTGTGTGGTGGTGGAGATGGTATTTGTTTTCAGTGCTTGCCATGATTGTCTTTACATACTAGCTTGCTGATTCGGGCTTAGTCGATGATGCTGAAGAATGCCTGAATGAGCTAAATGTTAATTTTTTTCTTCTCCTTTCTTCTTGCTTACTGTGCTTTTGCTTCTTTCTTCTAGATATTTTCGCTTGTTCCTTTTACTCTGATTTTGCAGTTCTAGACTGAGAAGTTACAGTATTCTGAAAATTAACATTCAAGGGGGAGGGGGAAACCCCAAGGAAAACTAAAGGCAATGAACCACTTCACTTACAAGAAAGGAAAACAGAACACTGAGCAGGGGGATTATAAGCACACGCCCACACATGCGCTCACACATACCCCTACCTGTGTATAATATATATTAATATTTCATTTAAAAAAACCAACTTGATAGGAATATACATTGTGTTTGGGAAGGGTACGTATATCATGCATTAGTGAAGTAATTCATTATTTATTCAGGTTCACTAAGTGAAACTACATGCCAACATATTGGTGTTGCCTCCTTAAACGACTAAAATGATTGATCCATGTTCACTTATGTAACTTTAGAATCTTTCTCCTGCTAGGTTTTCCTGTTGTCTATTTCTCTTTATCCAATATAGTGCAGTTCTTATTCTCCCTATATTTAGCGTCTGTTACTAATTTAATCTTAGATTAATAGTCAATTTATGTTAATCTTCTTTCTTTTTTCCTTGCACTTTTTTATTTTCCTTCCGATGCTTAAAATAGAAGTGGAGCAAAAAGGTAAATAACGTATACAGTCCAAACCCCAGCTCCTTGTTATGTGCCTTATGGATGTTAACCTCCTCCCTTTCCCTACCCACAACACTCTGATATTATGATAATCAGCAGGATCTCATAAGTACACCTCATAAAGAAGTCGACTGTTTGCAGTAAAGAGACTTGGTTGCTTAAAGTAGGTGGTGGGATATAGTGTCTGAAAAACTTGGGGCTGGAGGGGAGAGTCCCGTGCTTTCTCTCTTTCCCTCTCTTTCTCTCATCCTTGGGTACTTTCCTGTTAATCAAATGTCATCTTGCCTGGCTTCCAGAACCCTCTCCATAGCATGCCTTGGTTACAGGGTTTCCTGGTCTATTTCATTCATTGCTTTGGTTGTGTTTTGTTTTCTCTGCTCCTAATTGCTTTCTCTATATACCTGACGATTTGTTTTGTTTCTTTATTTTTAATCGAGGCACCTCCTTTTTCAGCCTCACCACTTCTTAAAGTTCTAAACAATTTGATGTGATTTTTTTACTGAAATGACCTACCGCAGTACTACACACCAGTTAAAAGCTCTGGAGCCTAAATGCTGTATTCACTAAAGTCTAAGATTAAAATGCAAGATTAGCTCTACATTTTTAGATGTACATGTGTGTGATTGAGCCTTGGTCTGTACTAGTGAAAACAGTTCCCATCCACTTTACATACTGGTACAATAAGAACATGGTAACTTTAAGAAAAGTGGATGATAAAGAGTGATAATTGTAATTATTATAAAATTAAATGACTCTTTTCTTCCTGACTCAGTCATTATGACTTACCTAGTCTTTTTAGGTGCATGAATGTTTTAATTTGACATAATTCTTGTCTTACTTCTCTCTGTGACTGTTAGTTTTTGTTTGCCCGGGGACGTTGAAAGCAATTGTGGACTCACCGTCTTTATATGAAGCTGAACAAAAGGCAGGTGCTTGGTGCAAAGATCCTCTCCAGGCTGCAGATAAAATATACTTCATGCCATGGACTCCATATCGCACTGATACTTTGATAGAATACGCTTCTTTAGAGGACTTCCAAAATGGACGCCAACAGACAACTTACAAACTTCCAAATCGAGTGGACGGCACTGGATTTGTGGTGTATGATGGTGCTGTATTTTTTAACAAAGAAAGAACCAGGAACATTGTAAAGTTTGATTTGAGGACTAGAATTAAGAGTGGAGAGGCCATTATCAATTATGCTAACTACCATGACACTTCTCCATACAGATGGGGAGGAAAGACTGATATTGATTTAGCAGTTGATGAAAATGGCTTATGGGTAATTTATGCTACGGAACAAAACAACGGAATGATAGTTATTAGCCAGTTGAATCCATACACTCTTCGCTTTGAAGCAACATGGGAAACCACATATGACAAACGGGCAGCATCCAATGCTTTTATGATATGTGGAGTCCTCTATGTAGTCCGATCAGTGTATCAAGACAACGAAAGTGAAACTGGCAAGAATGCAATTGATTACATTTACAACACCAGGTTAAGCAGAGGAGAAAATGTAGAAGTTCCCTTCCCCAACCAGTACCAGTACATTGCAGCAGTGGATTACAACCCAAGAGATAACCATCTGTATGTGTGGAACAACAACTTCATTCTACGATACTCTCTAGAGTTTGGCCCACCTGACCCTGCCCAAGGTAAGCATTTGCTTTTACTTCAGCAATCCACTTGTATCATCATTGATATAACATATATTTGGACATTTTTGTTTATAGACCTTGATTTTGGCTGAAGGGCAAGGAGGATTTCTTAGGTACTAGTACCCATGGCAATGTTACTTTTTGTTGGTATGACACACATTGAAGTGCCTACTTTAAAGTTCTAAAACACCGGATAGTTATTTTATTAGGAATAAATGCTTGTATTTGTGTCACCTGTACTAGAGGAGATCTGTTGAAATAAGACTAATTTCATTCATTTTGAGCCAGAAACCTGTTAGCTTTTGTGCTCTGCTTCCCGACTTTAAATTGATTAAAATGTATCTACAGACCTTTTAACTTCTTGGCACCAGCAGGTGAAAGAGATGTGTGCCAGGAGGTTTTGGGGGGACTGAAGGGGTTAATGTGCAATACCAGGTATAAATGTTCTAAAGTTTTTCCATCCTTCTTGCACTGTCTCCAGTATCTGCTTAGACAAGATTATCCTACATCTTTCTAGCACATTATAACATTGTGGAATTACACATTAGTCTTCCAGGTAAGTCTGTAACAATTGCAGTCAATCTGAAATAAGCACAACTATCTGCATCAGCTCTCTTAAAAAAAAGAGGGGGGGCCTTTTGGGACACAGATCTCAAAAGAAATTACTTCAACAACTATGAACCACAAGTTAACACCAAGAGGTAGAGTAAATTCATGAAGAACTACTCTGTGGAACATTTTGGGAAGGGGGATACAGGGAGAGAGAAAAATTTTGACAAGCTTCTTTATCGTTGAAGGCAAATGTTTCACTTCTCATGTCATTAATGTGTACATTTAGTAACTTTTTTTTCCACTTCAGAAAGTCTTATAGTAAGGTCTTGTCTACTATGCACAAAAGTTGTACCACTTCAGCTATATAGTATAGTCAAAGTGGTACTACCCCCACTACTGTGAATACAGTTATATTGGTAAAAAGTCCTTTTTACCAGTCTAGCTATTCCTAGTACAGGAAGGAGAACAAGCTATACTGGTATAAGGTACCTTCGTACTGGTATTAATGCGTCCACACTAACTGTTGTACAGGTATAACTATTTTGATGAAAAAAATCCCACCCCCTAACTGACATACCTGTAATTATACTGGTACAAAAACTGTATGTAGCCCAGCCACCTTAGATTGTTTTTGGAATGTTGTTTTATGTTGTAACTGGATGCTGAGGAATGTTTGACGATGATGGGGTCAATTGGAAAGCAGATGCTGGTTCTAAGGATTTTATGGGACTGGGGCAACTGCCCTAGGGTTTGGTTCACTGTTGGAGCTCTAGTCAAACAGCAGGTGAGTGAAGCAAGAGTTTGAAAGGGAGTAAAAAGCTTTTTGAGCTCTTTGCTAATACTACTCTTCCCTTCCTTATATAGAATAGAGTGTTAGCCACAGAGTTTTCACTGTTCATCCATGAAGGTATCTTTAGAAAATGTTGGGGTTGGTTTGAGAGTCTGTGTGTAATTATACTGTTACAGTTTTCAGCTCAGTGGAAGACGGTGAGTGTATATTGATTTTTAATTTTGTTTTACTACAGACACACAAATAGATCTATGTACTTGTTTCTCTTAGCGATTGGATGAAGAAGTGGGACTGAGTGGACTTGTTGGCTCTAACGTTTTACATTGTTATGTGTTTGAATGCAGTTATGTAACAAAAAAAAAATCTACATTTGTAAGTTGCACTTTCATGATAAAGAGATGGCACTACAGTACTTGTCTGAGGTGAAGAGAAAAATACTATTTCTTTTGTTTATCATTTTTACAGTGCAAGTATTTGTAATAAAAATAATACAAAGTGATCAGTGTACACTTTGTATTCTGTGTTGTAATTGAAATTGATATATTTGAAAATTCAGAAAAACATCCAAAATACATTTAATACATTTCAATTGGTATTCTATTGTTTAACAGTGTGATTAAAACTGCGATTAATTGTGATTGATTTTTTTAATTGGGATTAATTTTTTTTAGTTAAATGCATGAGTTAACTGCGATTAATTGACATCCCTAATATATATAATCACATACACACACATATATATAAGAACTAAAAATAAATTTTACCATAAATCTCCTTCAGTCTAAAGGTATGTCTATACTGCAGCTGAGATTATTCTTCCCAGATTGGGTAGATGGATTTGTGCTAGCGAACAGGCTAAAAATAGCAGTGTAGGCAGGGATAGCCTGGGCAGCGGCTCAGTCTAGCCACTTGAGTGTGTACCCAGGGGGTCAGAGCAGTTTTGTACGCAGCTGCTGGTCAGGCAACCCCTGACTACAGTATGTATTTTTAGCTAGCTCGAGCTGAACTAGCACGAGTCAGTCTATCTGTGCTGGGAAGCACACTCTGAGCTTCAGTGTAAACATACCCTAAGCCAGCTCCCCATAGTAAAAGAAAGAGCGCATTGAAGAGGGACAGAAGCTGCCTAGTATGAATGCCCTTTAAATAAACAAATAATAAGTCATAGAGGGATTAGGAAGAAACCCTTAAAGCTAATATTTTTTTGTATTAAATGCTCAGATCACTTCAGTGTCAGCATAATATTCATTTAAACTGTATAAATTGACCATCAGTTTTCTTATTACAATGTGATTTTGATGTCTGCATGTGTAAGCTACTTATTGGTAGGCTGGAGGCTGGAGATCAAATTTTGAAATTATTAGGTTGACTAGAGGGGTTTTTTGTTTTTGTTTTTTGTTTTTTAGTAGTTGCACAAGATCATTTATAACAACTGTCAATGCACACTTTATATGTGGAGCTCATTCCCAGAGGGTGGTGTGATGGCCAAAAGAATTAGGTAAGTTCAGGGAGGATAGGTCCAGCAGTGGTTATTAGCCAAGATAGTCAGGGACCTAACTCCATGCTCTCTGGGTGCCCCTAAGCCTCAGACTGCCAGAAGCTGGGACTGGATATTGGGATGGATCAATTGATAATTGCCCTGTTCTGTTCATTCCATTCCCTCTGAAGCATCTGGCAGTGGCCACTGTCAGAAGACAGGATACTGGGCTAGATGGACTATTGGTCTGACTCAGTATGGCCATTCTTATGTTCTTAACTGTCTGTTCATAAAGTTGGGTGTTGTTTCTACATCTTTTAACCATAGCACCTTGTTTTTTTGCTGCCTTGTCCTAAAATACCCTATTATCAAGCATTTAATGATGTCTTAGAGTTAGTGCCGCAAAAGCAGACATCCTGGTTTTGACTTCTTCTGTTGGAATGGTTAATTTGGAGCCCTTATGGAAAATTTAGCAATCTGTGTCACTTCTCTTTTGAGTGGGAACAGTAATGACTCTCTCTGATCCCTCTGTCACCTGTCTGTCTGCTGTCTTGACTCTGTCAGTGCTTGGCTACACCATAACTTCCAAATGCTGAGTGTTTCAAAGACTGAAGTCCTCCTGGGTAAAAAGACTTCTTTGTCATATCTGACTCTCACTCCTGAAGTCAGACATTCGCATTACTCCCAAGACCAAAAATCTTGGACTCACTCTTGACCTCAGACCTGTGTTTTCCTTCTTCAGATGTCTCCCTTATGTTTAATTCTGCCTATTGCAATCTCTAGAATATTGCCAGTATTTGATCTTACTTTGACCCTGCCTTTGCTGAAACCCTTATCCATGCCGTAATCACAATCTCTGCTTTTGCAATTGCCTATTTTACAATATTCCTCAATCCTTCAGGGAATTCAGAATGTTGTGACCAAAGTACTCTCTTGCACCAAGAAACAGACCCATATCACATTGGCCTTTTCTCTCCTTCACAGCTCATTCCCTTGACTTCATCCTTTGTATGTTGTTTTTCCCCTCTCTGCACTTATGGGAATTACTGTACATAGTTCTGTAAAGTGTTCTCTATGCTAACACTCTCTCCACAGCACTTTGAATACTTTGTATGATGGACACCACATAAAAACTGTGCAGGAATGTGGTTTCTTGGGTTAAGTGAAAAGAAAAGTTTTTAAAAAGTTGTATTCCTAAATTAGTAATAAAATATATTTTGACTTAAAATAACAAACAGATACAACTCAAAACAAGTGTGTGCATCATACCAGATTCTTCTTTAGTTGGCTGGCAAGCCCTGTGGGTGAGGATACTGTATTTTTTTCTACTACACATATCACAGACACCCAAAGAATGCAAGAAGGCAGAAGAAATTCAGGAATAAAATACTTTCTAAATTGAAAGAATTAGGAGGAGCAGGGGGTATTTTCAAAAATGGATATGTTGTTACTCTGTAATGCTTCTTTGGCATCAAAGAGAAGGCAGATCCTTTTCTCAGTGAATTAGGGGAAGATTTAATCTATGTTCATTCCAATTTGCGCTAACCGTGCAAAACAGTTCAAACTGGAGTTCATTCTCCTTATTTGCAGCATGTTAACTATCATTACATTTTATCAGATCACTGCAGGAAAATATAGCAGCTGTGGGTCTGTGTAGAGCACAAGCCCTTATAGTGCCATTACCCAAGCCTTAAAATAATGGGAAGTTGGTGCAAATAAATCTTTATCACCCCAAGAATCTTCCATGGAGTCAGGCAGCAAACTGCTAAAGAAAATCAGATCTCCGCCATTATCTCATGCTGCTGATTGATTGAGGAGTGGTCATGGTGAAAGAGATGAGATACTGGGAGCCAATTAACCCAGTTTTCAACTGAAGCAATTTTGCCAGTTTACTGAAACCTTTATTATCATGTGCAGATATCAATTAAGAAGATGGCTATGCTAACTTTGTGTTCTCAGCTAAGCAGGATTGGCTGAGTTAATAGCTGGCTGCGCAACTTCTTAATACCTAGGTGCTGCTGCAAGTGCTGGTGATTTCCCTGAGTCACTACTGAAACAATACCCCAGGTCTGTGCTAGGGGGCCATCTTTCAGAAGAGCTGTAAAATAAAGGCCCTTGCTACTTGTGGGCTATTTCAAATCCGACGGCACTGTTTGTGGGAACAGGAAGTGTTAACTCAGTGACCTAGCCAAGTGCCAATGTGTCTATTGTTACTTTATTAGGGTAATTTTCAAAAGTGCTTAAGTGACTTAGAAGCCTCAGGCCTGGTCTATACTCGGAAATAAAATCGGTATAACTATGTTGCTCAAGGATATGAAAAATCTAGACCTCTGAGAGATGCAGTTAAACCAGCCTAACTGGTGTAGACAGTGCTATGTCTATAGGAGAATTCTCCTGTGGACCTTGCTACCGCCTCTCGGGGAGGTACAATACCTATGCCATTGGGTCAAGCCCTCCTGTTGGCACAGGTAGTGGCTTCACTGAAACGTTACTGCAGTGCAGCTGCAATGGGGCAGCATTTTAAGTGTAGACAAGCCCTAAGTCTCATTTTCAGAATCGATTTAGGCATGTAGGTGGCTACGTCTCATTGAAAGTCATTGGGATTTAAGGCCAGATTTTTAAAGGTATTTAAGCACCTAAAGATGCAGATAGGAACATTGTAGAATTTTTAAAAGTGCCTAGGCCCCAACTTCCATTGAAGTCAATGGGAGTTAAGCATTTCAGTGAGAGTTAGTCACTTAGATGCCTAGTGGGATTTTGAAAAGCAGTTACTAAATACCTTTGGTAATCTGGCCTTTACTGTCTAAGTTCCCCTTTCCTTTCCATTCGGAGGAAAATAATTATTTACTCCTTGTCTTAAATTATTAGGCTATTCTGTTACATAGCACACTGTTAAATAGTTGCTGTATTTCACCCCAGTGGTTCCTATATTTTCAGTGGTGGAAGGAGTAATCCATTTGGGTAGAGGGTTTCCAACCCTCCCGGATTGGCTGGGAGTTTACCAGAATTGGCCTCGGTCTCCCGGTGACTATTGAAAGCAATCCGGGAGATTTTAATAGGCCGCTAAAAATCTGGTTGGTGGCACAGCGAGGCTAAAGCAGGCTTGCTACCTGCCTTGGCTTCACACGGCTCCCAGAAGCAGCCGGGATGTCCCGCTCCTAGGCATAGGGAACTGTGGCCCTGAGCCTAGGAGCCGGAGGGACATGCTGGTCGCTTCCGGGAGCCGACCGAGGTAAGCGCTACCCGGCCGGTGCCCGCATCCGTGAGCCCCCTCCCGCACTCAAACTCCCTCCCAGAGCCCACACCCCAAACCTCCTCCAATACCCCATCCTTGAGCCCCCTCCAAAGCCCTCAGCCTCCAGCCAGAGCCTGCTCCTGCACCCCAAACCTCTCATCCCCAGCCTCACCCCAGAGCCCTCACACCCTCCCACACCCGAACTCCCTGACCCACCCTGGACCCCCTCCCACACTATGAACTCCTAATTTCTGGCCCCATCCCGGAGCCCGCACCCCCATCCAGAGCCCTCAGTCCCCCACTCACCAGCCCCTGCCCCAGCCTGGTGAAAGTGAGTGAGGGTGGGGGAGAGTGAGCGATGGAGAGAGGCAAGATGGAGTTAGCAGGGGCAAGGCCTCAGAGAAGGAGCGTGGCCTCAGGGGAGGGGACAGGGTAGGGTGTTCGGGTTTGTGCAATTAGAAAGTTGGCAACCCTATTTGGCTAGTTGAGTATTAATTTAAATTTGGTCTAGGAAAAAGGATGATACAAATCTACGCTAATTTACCTTCTACACAGTAATTATGTTTACCTCTTTTTGTTTGTTTGTGCAGTCCAGTTTCAGTTGAACACATTCTCACAAATTATTTTTTTTTTAAAAGGAAGGTTTCTCCTCCCATTGCCACAAGTATTGTAGCCCAGTCTAAAAGTTAAGACCACACAAAACGAGATTTCATAACTCCTTTAGTTTTGATGTGTGAGGCAAATTAAACATTCCTTAACCCTCTACAGTCCCATCCCCGCTCCTGGGCACAAGAGGGTGATTTTCTACCTGACTCTGAGATGCAGTCCTGGAGTGTAAGCAGTTACTTGACAGCCATCACGTCCTCAAAATGAAAATTCTGGTTGATGGTATATGAGGCTTGCATATTCGCTCCTTCCTAGTGCAGTACAGACATTACCTAACAGTCATGATTTGAATTAAATTGCAATGAAAAAGAATAAACTCCAGTTTTGCGCCTAGAGTAAACAGAAATCTTAGATTATGTTGTAGAGTATATCCTCCGATAGTTCCCTAAAAACAAGATGACCTGCCTTTTAAATGCTAGATGTTTTTCAAAAGTGATTTCATGAATTGTGTGTCATTCTTTTAACATTTTCCACTGAAGGTGCTTCTCCTTCCCTGCACTTCCAACTCCATTTGGATTATTGTAGTGTGCTCTTTCAGATATGGAATTCCACTCCGGTCTTGAGAAGAGTATTTTGCAGATAGTTTTTTAAAATTTTATTTTTGTGATTTTATGTTATTACTAATTAGGGATTATAAATAATTTTGAAAATGTCTTTCTTATTAGGAGTATTTGCAGATCATCTTTAAAACCAAAGTAGATGTGCTGTATAATTTATTTTAATGGGTAGCATTGAAAATAGTCTGCAGCAGATCAGCTGCACTCAGAGTTGCAGTATGAAATTGTGTTCTTAAAATAGTCATCTCACTATTGAATTTCAAATATTTGTCATGAGTCCTTTTATGGATATTTAGCTAGTTCCTATAGTATTTAGACTATTCTTGTCCCAAAACCAAAAGTAAAGGTCTAATAAAACAGTACTAATTGCAATATTGTTAATACAGAGTTCAGTGATTAAATATGTACTAATTAGCACTGTGTGTCATGGGATATATAGGATAATAGTTATAATCTGTTCTCCCCTGCTCTATTCTCCCCTCCCCACCCTCAGCGCCTGATTCAGCAGCAGTTACTTGACACTTCTTCAAGTGATTGTGATGCTTTTGACAAATGTTAATTGAGAAAGCACTGAAAGCCTGGCTGCATTGTAATCAAAAGAAAATTACAGAGGTTTCACAAGATGTCATGCAAATACTTACAAAAAAAAGATAGACAGGTTTGAATAGGTTTTTGCTGCAGCTGGGTAGGCAAGAAGTTCAGCAGGATTACACAGGCAGTACTCAAACAGTAAATAAATTAGACTGAAAATAAGATGCAAATTTAAGAAGGTTCTGATTGAGATGGAGAATAATGTGAGAACGAATATCTTTGCATATATTGTTTTTGCAAGAAATTTAGTTTGCTCTTTAAGAACTTGAAACTGAAAACAAATCAAAAATTGCAGTGTAAATTTTTACTTTAGCGTGGTCAGTTGTTAGTGTCTATAAAACATTTATCCAGGAAGAATTGTTATAAGTGAATAGTGTGAAAAAAGATTTTAATAAAAAAAGATTGTGTAACGTGAAATATGTAAACAACATTTGAGACTCTTAACAAAACATTTTTTGAAAAATTCTGAAAGACAGCTTGGGTACTTCTTTTCTTGTTTGCACTTGTGGTTTAATTTAATTTCAAGTATGTATATTTTTGATAAGTCATAACCCAAGGACATGAGATGAAAATTCCTTTTGTATAATTAGGGTTAGCCTATGAGAAGTAACAGAAAAAAAACGAAACCCAACAACCCCAAAAACGGAAAAATGTCAAAGCCACTTGTTTCCAGTATTGTCTGATAAGAGGTGAAGTAAATGCCTGTCCTTCATTTGTAAATTCTTCAGGGCAGGCGCTTGTCTTTGCTTTGTCTGTAAAGCATCATGCATACCTGTGGAGATGCAGAAATAACAAATGATGCAGCTGCATTCTTCCACTGGCTCTTATTGCTATCAGATGAACAAATTATGGTGGTGAGCATAATATTCACAGATACCAATATTATACTTCTGTAACTTAATAGCACTCCAAACAGATCTGTTCTGTATTTCATCAGCACATTTGTTAGTACATTCCCTATGTGGGTCAGCAGAATCAATCCATTGTAGGTCTCAAATCAGAAATTATTTGGCCTAACCCAGTGTTGTCTTGACACAGAAGATTAAGCCATGTACTTGCCACAGGCTTGAATTACTCGTTTCTTCATATCTGCTTTATATATATATATATATATATATATATATAAGTTAAAACCCAAGATGATCAAAAACTAAGACAACACATACATTCTAGGCTTTTCTTCTGTTGGGATCTAATCAAGCAAGAATGATGCCGGGTGGGAAGATGTTACAGTAATTATTTTCCTGCAAGGTGTAGAGTGGGTGACTCGATGGTTTTTTAGATTTTTAAATGCCCTAGTTATTTACAGTCCACAATTTTTTGTTTTTACACTGAGCTTGATTGTTTACAGCACGTTGATTTAAATTATTCTATCAGACTGCTCTTTTTTAAGGTCATTAGAACGTGTTTAATTGTTTTATGTGTATTTGTCATGTACTGATAATTCGTTACTAGTGCCTCTCGGCCTTTAGAAATGTAACTATCAATTTGTATCAGAGAAAAGGTGTCAACAAAATGTACTGAACCATCATGTTAATTTGAGACTGAGAGAATTAAAAAAAAATAGACATTCAGAATTATATGCTTAACAGTGACTGTAGAGAGCACAAAAGATTGATACTGAAATAAAGAAAAAAAGACACCAGAGAATCATGTAAAATCACATAACCTTTTGTTACCTTTCTTCACTATTTTGAAGAACCATTATTTTTATTATTACTCTTTATTTTCTCCCTACAGTGCCTACTACCGCAGTGACAATAACTTCTTCAGCAGAGCTATACAAAACCACTGTGTCAACCATAAGCACGACTTCACAGAAAGGCCCCATAAGCACAACATTAGCTGGAGGCACAAAGGAAGGAAGCAGAGGGCCCAAGCCACCACCAGCAGTTTCCACAACGAAAATTCCTCCAGTGACAAGTTTTTTCCCTTTGCCAGAGAGATTCTGTGAACCTGATGAGGCCAGGGGGATTAGCTGGCCTCAGACACAAAGAGGAATGATGGTTGAACGTCCTTGTCCCAAAGGAACTCGAGGTATTGCCTTAAAAAAAATCTTGATCTCAAGTAAATGTTTCAAAAAGAATGGACAACTTTTATGGCATTTTTTGTTTTGGGTAATTTCAAACTCTCATGATTTTTGTTACTTGAAGTATGTAGCGTTTGTTCATGCTTTGATCTATAAAAGACATTTGAGAATAGGTACAGAATTACCTCACACACACTTTTCAAGAATCCAGGGCAAACTTTAGGTCTTTGCTTGAGAACTGTAGAGAAGCTTGCTTTACAGCTGCCTTTCCCATTAGGAGCTGCTCTCTGGATGATTTCTAGGGAAAATCAAGAGCTTTTTGTTTGCTGTGAAAGTCTGATACTTTACCCTGACTTGTGTATTGCCGTTTGTAATTTACATTATTTTCTTACGTTTTGTCAGTTATTGTCAGTTGTTTCCACTAGTGCTATTCAAAATTTAATATAGAGTATGGAGTGCATTGTAGCTGATTTCCCGAATGCATGCAGAAAAATGGTTTCAATTTCACTGTTGTTTCTACATCTGTTGTAGGAACTGCCTCGTATCTCTGCATGGTTTCCACTGGAACATGGAACCCTAAGGGCCCTGATCTTAGCAACTGTACCTCACACTGGGTAAATCAGCTGGCTCAGAAGGTTGGTTGGAACCTTTTAATATGATACACACTGGTGATTAAGGGTTTTAACTCTGAACATAAATTATTCAGCTTTGTATGTTGAAACCATCTTTATTACTCTTTGTTCAATTTAAAAGCAGAAAGAATTATGCATACTTTGTCTGTAAAGCATTTACTGAAAGCTAGATTCACATGTGTTCTTTGGTAAGCTGTTTTCTAAATTAAACTCTTTTAATGAGTCCATGCTTGCTTAATTTCATTTCTATTAAATTCAGACGCGCTTTTTGATGTTCAATAGAAAAAAGTACATTCACCTAATAAATCAAGTACTATAAAGTGCACACCAAAATATGTACTGTATAAGCAGATGTTTAGCTAACTGAAAATGATGGAAGAAACTAGAATTCTAAAAAAATGCATTAAAAACAAAATATGATTAGAGTGCAGCATCACTTTTTGTGCTTCCCCTCCCTAATGAGCATTAGTGAAGTTTTGAAACTAAATAATTTGCCATCACTACCAGCTGCTTGACTTTCAAATGCCTCAAACACTGGTATGAACAAAAAGATTTATTAGTGTCTGATAACAGTGGTAAAATAAAAGTGAAGATGAAAAGAAGATCTGACCCAAAATCACCAATCTGATTTCTGGATTTGATGGCTGTTAACTGCTTTTGTGTGTCATGGATCTAAGAACTTTTAATCTGCGGAGATAAAGTTATTGGTTCAGTTAGTTGCGGATTTCAACGTACGTGCAAATGATTATTTCACCACAACAAAGGTATACAGAGAATAAGAATTGGAAGCCACAAGCAGAACAACGGATCCTGCTGAGATAATATAAATTGTCATTTCAGATCAGAAGTGGAGAAAATGCTGCTAGTCTGGCCAATGAACTGGCTAAACACACCAAAGGACCAGTTTTTGCTGGTGATGTGAGTTCATCAGTGAGGTTGATGGAACAGTTGGTGGACATTCTTGATGCTCAACTGCAAGAACTGAGGCCTAGTGAAAAAGACTCAGCCGGGCGGAGTTATAACAAGGTACACAGCTTCCCACACCTCCATTTGCTAGGATAATCTTTTTTTTTCCTTTCAGAAACATTACTGCCAAATCTGAGCTTTACTCCTACTGTACAAATAAAGATTTAAGAAAAAAACAAATCCACAATAAAGTGTAAATTTTATTAACTGGCTGACATGACGCTCAATAGATGACTGGGTTCAAATATAAAATGTGTGTGTGCTTATTCAAATATTGAATATATCACCTCTGGTTTGAGAAGAACTGACACTATTGAACTCTGGGGAGTAGCATATCTTCATGGAAACCAATTGCAGGATCAGAGCCTTTGTTAGTCCATTTAAGACCCGAGCATTAGTTACTAATGATAATTGGGTATATTAAACATGTACCCAGTTATTACTACTGGCAAATATGATCACAGATAAAACTATCTCTTGATGTTTTTGAATGTGAATCATAATAAGATTATCATTCCAGTTTTCCTGTTGTGGGTGCTAAACTTCAGGGCACGGGTTGTCTCTTGCCCGCTGTGATTCAGTCAGCACAACATAAATTAAGGATTTTTCACCCAGTCTGTTTTGGAAAGACCATCCCATCCTCTCACATCTCCCACTCTGGCAGCTACATTCTTGACATATTAGCTCTTGCAGGAGTGGTTGATGGTTTTATTCAAAATCCCTAGCTATATTGCTGAGCAGAGTTTCTCCAAAGACCAAGCATATGCCCATAGTCTACCCATAGTTTGAACAGAACTCCCATTCATGAAGGAAAGGAAGGGTATAACCAGGTATATGGTTGGGGCATAGTGTTCTCCAAGAATGTTGCATGGCCCCATGGAAGTACATTGGGCTAAAACTAGACAGACATCTGGACTCTGCATACTGCAGATTTGACACATCAGACTAATTTTTGGATATTTCTGTAGCTTCCAGAATGTGTCTAACCTCTGATTTTCTTTTTTCTTACTAAAAAGCTCCAAAAACGAGAGAAGACATGCAGGGCTTACCTTAAGGTATCTCTCCTGTGCTGTCACCCTGCTTTCACCCTGCTTCAGCAACCTGCCACGCTTTATCATCTTGCTGCATGATCCTATGTATTTCAGTCTTTGATAAATGTGTTTTGTGCCCCATATCAACTGTACAAATGTTGGCTTTGCACAGGTATAATACTCTCAGAATAAGCAAATGATCAGCGCTTACAACTCTTCTCCTGCTCCCTGCCCCCAATCCAAAAGTACAAGAACAGTAATGAGCATTGTGATTTGGAGATGATAATACCTCTGTTTCCTTGTGTTACGTGCGTGGAGAAAAAAAGTCAATAAAACAGAAATGGTGTCATATTGCTAGTTTCTCCCTTTTTCTAAGGTGCAATCTTAAATTCCAGAGATTTTTGTTAAGAGACATTACTAAGGTCAGATTCAGCAATTTAAGGGGGTGGACTGCAAATAAAAATAAAATCATTCCTGTAACTTTACAGTACAGTATGTGCCAAGTGCCCCATTAGCTAAGCTACAGGGGGCATGCAGTATATTGTTACCTGACTTTCAGTTTCTTGCAGATTCTGCAGCCTCCCTCCCTGCAGTGCCCAGTTCCCACACTGTGATGCTGTGCCAGTTATGTCACTGCCACCACTCAGTACTGCTAGTGGAAGAAACTGGCCTAGAGTGGATCACGTAAGTGGCTTTTAAAAATTATATTGCACGGTTTTTCAAAGTTTTTTTAAATATTATTAATTTTTGCTTACATCCTATGGGATATAATACAAGAGTAATAAAAACTTTGAAACACCGCACAACATAATAAAAAGAAAAGCCTCTTATCTGACATTCCCCCCTTTATATAGGACTGCTCCAGTCACCAACCTTCACAGGCTGGAGCCTTGCATAGAAATGAGAGCTGTTTGGTCACAGCAAGAATAGTTACTCTGAGATCCAAAAGGAAAAAAGAAATAGGAGTGGTGGAATCAGATTTCAAATAATAATATTTTAATTGTCCCTTTTAGCCTGGTTAATGGGGAGCACAGCAGATATTGTTGGAATGGGATTGAATTTTCATAATTCATTTGCAGTTCACCTTTTAAGATATAAGTTAATGGGAAATGTAGTAATTGGTGTATTGCCCAGGACACGTGTGTCATTGGGACAAAAATAGTCTTTTTTCCCCCCTCCCCCTTTGGCAGGGAGGAGAGAGCACCTCAGAAATATTATTATATTGCTAATCATTTTGATTCCACTGAAGAAATACATCGAGTTAGATTGTACCATAGTAAATAAGGCATGCTTCGAGTTAATGAATGCATATAATCAGCGCCGTATATAGATACACAAGAAACAGTAGCACGACCTTAATTTTTGACCGGTATCATTTTCAATGAGTCTCAAATGAGCTTCTCTGTTAAGATAAAAATAACAAACCTCTTGAAATTAGAAATCAAAAGCTGACTTACACTATGCAAATGAAGCAAGTTCCCACTTGATGACAGAGGATTCAATTGTACCTCAGATTAGAGGCTCCAATCTGTATTTCTTGGTGACTAATGAATCTGGCCTCTACAGACCAATTTCTGTTCCACTCTAATTAATGGCTGCAGCAGTATCAGTGTGAGCATTTGACTATTCTGTCTCCCATTAGAGAAAGAAAAAAAACCTTTTAATGCCACTTCGAAGTATCTTCAACCCGCCAGGAAGGTTGTAGTGGCTCACAGTGCTGGCAGAAAGAGGATATAAAGATGGATTAAGCTAATTAATCTTGGTCTGACAATAGCCTCGACCAACTTTTCCTATTCATTCATGTGTACAGTGTAGTTTTCCAAACCAATATTTTTGTTTGTATAATGTTTCGTTTCCATTCCCAGTGCTTTTAAACTGATCAAATTATATATGTGCTTAATGACACATTATGACTAGGTAAATGGGACAATGATTCAGCAATGCATGGCATATTCAATGCACAGCTACATTATGCATTAATGTAAGAGCCTGCCTTCAATTGATTAACTGATTACTGTGATTGATTGGATTATTTTGTAAAGAGAATGTAATGATGTCTCTTCAAATTCCCTTTTCTCCTTACTTACTGTTGTTTTATATGCAGCTTAATGAACCCTAATACATAATAATATAGTTTTCACAGTGTAGACTTTCGAAAATGAGAACTTTGTTCAGTTTTGTAATTATGCTTTCACAGATAACAGGGTCAGTCAGTGGGCATCTTGTTTGTGCTACTGATTTCCTTTGTTGAATGACCATTGTGCAGGAATGGAAGTTAGTAAGCTTCTAAGTATTTGTCAACAGGTACAGGAAAGGGGAGAAAGAGTGGTGCAGATTATTTTATAACTACTGAGGCAACTTCATTTCATGCCTCTTATAATAAAAGAGAGAGTTTGTATTAGACAACAGCTTATGTACTGTAGCTGCATGTATTGTGTTAAGTTTGCAGGATAATAGTATTGCTTTTTAGCCTAAACTTTGGAATGCTGACTTTGGTATTAGTATTTTCTAAATGTGAATTATATTTTTTGACATTAACTTCAGTATTAAGCTTCAGGCAAGACCATTGGCACTGGTTCTTACATTTCTCAGCACATTAATAACACAGTCTTCATATCTGATATGAAACAAGCCAGATCTGCATGTTTACCAGTGACAGGTAACACACAGCTGGTGGCTAGTGCATCTCTATTTGTGCTAGTTCAGTAAAGGGTTGGAAATATTTTTATGTTGAAAATAGTTTTCTGGTGCCATTAAATCACAGTAAATAATCTTGACAGTTAAATATTATAATTGTCACCAGATAACGTTGGAAACTTTCTCCCACTGCCTAGGGCAATCACACCTAATGGTAGTTTTCTAATGAATACAGGCAATCGTTGACACAGTGAACAACCTCCTCAGGCCTGAAGCTCTAGAATCCTGGAAAGATATGAATTCTTCCGAACAAGCACATGCTGCAACAATGTTACTTGATACACTAGAAGAAGGGGCTTTTGTCTTGGCTGACAACCTCTTAGAACCAACTAGAGTCTCAATGCCCACCGAAAACATTGGTAAGTTAATATGTCTTCAAGTGTAGTTTCAAGTACTGCAAATCCCGGTATGAGAAGAAAACAAAAACCAAGGTTAATAGTCACAGTACACTAAGAAAGCTGGGGTCTGCAGTACTTGGTAGAAAGTGTTTAGAAATTGGGGTGTTTTCTTAATTAGTTAAAAAAACCTATTCTTCTGTAGCATAATTAATGCTATGTAAAAAAGTAAAGTAGTTCATGTTGAAAAGTTCATCTACAATTGAAAAATCATTAGCAAAATGTATGGATATGAATAGTGCTTAAATGCCAGAGAATGGATTTTCTGAAGTAAGTAAAATGCTTGCTGTGGAGCTGTGGAAATGTTTTCCCATTATATATAATCTGTTCCTAATGAATTTAAATTACTTTCTGGAATGTACTCTGCCAGTTACATTTTTTAGGCACATAGAACATGGACCAAATGTTTATATTAAACATAACTGCCTTCAGGTGAAAATGCGACTACATCTTCCATAATGCAGAATAACCATGCTCCATAGATTGCAAAATAGCTGCAGATACTTGGAACATAATTTAGAATTTAAATGGTGGCGCAGATGAAGGGCTCAGCATTAGGGATCTACAAATATAGGTATAGTCTTGTGATAGTTAAACCCACTGCTGGTCCATAAAATTAAAATGTCTTTAGTGTACTGATGAGTCAGTCCTCAGTGAGGTACAAGGGGAAAGGGAAGCATGTGATGCTGAGGTGCTGGGTCAGAGGCTTGGGGATTGGACCGAGAGATTTGGGAATGGGAAGAGTATTGAATAAAAAATGTTTTGGATAGGGGTGTGAGAACAATGTGGAACTGCTAGGTACTTATGGTCTCGCAGGTGAAGGGCCTCTAGATCAACTCAGATTTTAATCCAAACAAATAATATTTTAAACCTCTATTTTCTCTCTTAAAACTGCATCCTAAACATCATATTGTAAGCAAAGTAATATTGGTGTGAACTGTGCACTTGTAAATTCAAATTCTGGATGGCCTTTACTTTTTGTAGTGGTCACTCTGCCTGCCTAATTATAGAACTTACACACAAAATATGTATCACCATCACTAATTTATCACTATCACTACTAAGTAGTTACATCAATTGTCATTACAAAAGTTTCACTCCCTTATTAGGATTTTGGATAGAATCTCTTTGTGAAAAGCTTTTGAGAATTTGAGCTGGATTTAACTGTTAAAGAATAATTTTTAAAAATGTATTCTCTCTTGTCTGACTTAATTGAAGACATTTTTCATTCATATTTTTACCTTTACTTTTTTCCCCTCGAAAAAGAGTAAGGACGCACCTTTTGCAAATTAGCCTACATGCCACTTGTAAGGCAACAGCTTCCTTTAAAGTAGATTGTGTATCTAGGCCCCTGATCTTTCAATCACTGATGTACAAGTAGTTCTATTGAGTTCAATGGGACTACTTGTATGTCAGTGCTCAGGAGAAGCTGCCTTCAAATCAAAATAATATATTGTTCATGTCAAGGCTACTGATGTCAGTCAAGGCCTAACAGACCAGCTGTGCAAACACAACTCCCATTAAACTAAATGGCATTCAGAAATAGAGCAACCTAAAATCTTAACTCCAGAAAGGCTGGCAGTGGACTACCTGTCCCCTCCGTTCCCCACAGTTCTCCCTCTCTCCCCTTTAAAGACATTCTGAGTGAAATACTGCCCCCCACCCCTTCATTGAACTCAGTGGTAAAAGTTGCATTGACTTCAGTGACCCAGGATGTCACAATTTATACTTATACTGAAGTAGGGTGACCAGATTTTATAGGGACAGTCCCGATTTTCGGGACTTTTTCTTATATAGGCACCTAAACTCCCCCCTCCCCCCCCCGTCCCGATTTTTTACACTTGCTATCTGGTCACCCTGTACTGAACTCATGAGTCAAATAAATAGTTTCCATGCAAAAACCACTGTAGATCTGTCATGTTCTTGTACATTAACTGTTTTGTTGGTTATTGGAAGCATTTGTGTTCATCCTTCAGAATATGTAGGCGGAAAAATTGAAATCATTGTCAAATGTGATGTACAGGTGGGCATAAATGCCAAGTTTTAACACTGAGGCAAAGATATTTCCTAAGTAGTCTGTCCTGAACTGAGTAATTTTACTTATCAAAGAGCATCCAACCTTGCAAGGTAATTCTATAAAACCTCAGTTCTGCGCTATATAAGCCTGAGTTAAAATGTAAAAAACTGATAGTAGCATTTAAATCTTTTTAAAATACATAAACATAAAATGTCTTTCAACAACTCTTTAACATACATGCAGAAAACCGATATTTGGAACTTTTCTAGACACAAATACAGAGATTCACAGAACTATACTATTTAAACGCACCTAGCTATTTACGGTATTTTAGGATAGCCTTAGTACTGTATAATTGCTATTAAAAACTGTAGACAGACACTAACCATTTATGCAGTAGAGACACTCTTGGCTCCAAAAATTAAGATTTCTTCAACATAAGAGTTTACAATGTTTTTAAAGTGATGTCTTGTACGCACACAATAAAACAAGGTTTGTTATCATGTTTTCACCACTGAAGTGCTGTTACTTTGGTAGTATGAACTAGGTTTAATTAAAGTTTAAAGAAACTAGGTCCACATAGTTGAAACATGCCAGCAAGCCTCTGTCTTGTAGAGGCAAACAAGGACAGCAAAATGAGGAGTTTTCAGAAAGTTATCACCTGCCACATTATAATCCTACCACAAAAAATGTTTTCTACGGTTTTTTTTCTCCCCTTCCCTGTTGGTTTGTGTTTGGTCCGACTAGTTCTGGAAGTTGCAGTGCTCAGTACAGAAGGCCAGGTGCAGGACTTGAAATTTCCTCAGGGCAGTGAAGGAGGCAATTTGATCCAACTCTCCGCAAACACTGTGAAACAGAACAGCAGGAATGGTAAGTTTGGGCACATAAACAATCTGACTCCTTTAATCTGTGCGAAATACACATTTAAAGCAATAGTAATTTAAATCTTACATTTTTGAATATGTTAATACATTGGCTAGCAGAAGTAAAAATAGCTGTTCAAGGGCTCTTTCTTGTATGGAGTATGTGTAAGTCTCTTTGATTTGAATCCAAATCCTGCATAATGCATTCCTCTTTGCTGATGTTTTATTTTGCATTTAGACAATAGATTATTCAGCACACATTGTACTCTTCACCTACAATTCCATGACATTATAATGGGAGTTTTCCTTTACTAGGATTAGCAAAATTGGTTTTCATCATTTACAAAAGTTTGGGACGCTTCCTCAGTACCGAAAATGCGACCATAAAGCTGGGTAGTGACTTCGTTGGTCGGAACAGTACCATTGCAGTGAACTCCCACGTCATCGCAGCCTCTATCAACAAGGAGTCCAGCCGTGTGTACCTGACTGATCCTGTGCTTTTTACCCTGGAACACATTGATGTGAGTTATGCTAATGAATTAATAGGAAGGTCATAAAATCAGCAAGAGAGAAGAGCAAAGCAGAAAAAAAAACACCTTCCTTCCATTTGAATTTTAAATGTTGGACTAGGTCAGAGACACAAGTTTATTTAAGTCTATGAACATAAAATTAAATGAGCCTGGTTCAGTGATTATTAGAACTTAAGTGTATTCTTAATGAAAGTTAATTCAGTAATCAACATGAAAATGTAAATGACTCTCTAATTTGTTTCTAAGTGAAAATTAACTCTTACCTTAGCAGCAGGATAGAAAAATATTAATTGTTATGACTCTGCCTGTTTAATGTAGCAAAATTAAATGACACTTGGAATACTTACTTTAATTCTGGGCCATCTTTGGGAAACCTTTACAAATTATTCAAATAGATTTATTCAACAGAGAACAGAGTGTAGCTTCTACAGTCTCCAGTGCCTCAAAGTTTGCTGCCCATCTTCCTCATGACTGCTAAATCCATGTTTCTTTTCACTATGCTCTTTCACTCTGCTGTTTGAGTTGGGTTCTTCCTGTTCCCATGCCAAAAGAGTGGGCATGGTAAACTATCAGGACTGGCTCAGAAAAATGTGTGGATTTTCCTCTTTTGTATCTACTTCAGCAAGTTCTCCTTGAAGTAGGCCTCGAGGAGCTAATCCTTTCCTGGTGCCTTTTATGTGCAACTTTGGTTTGCTCAAAAATGAGAATAGAAAAGGGACAGCGTTTTTAAATGGTCAGATACAGGTGAAATCCTACAGAATAAATTCAGTTTTTATTTTGCAGAAAGAAAAAAAAAAGGCTACAATGCACCATCAGTGCATAAAATCGTAAGAAGGAAATTGTAATTGTTTAAAATTGGATCTACAGTAATTGAGATTACACATTAAAGTGTTTCGGACTATAAAGTCCCTTTTAAACTAGATGTCTGCCTTGTACAACATAGTCCACAACTTTGCTGATGAAAAACTTTATAGTCCGAAACATGCAAAGTTTAATCTAAATTACCTTTTACATATATTGAACAACTGTTATTGCCATCTTAGAGTGTAAAATCCTAATTTTATTTTATCCTTTTATCCCCCAGCCTGACAATTATTTCAATGCAAATTGCTCCTTCTGGAACTACTCAGAGAGGACTATGATGGGATATTGGTCCACTCAGGGGTGCAAGCTGATTGACACAAATAAAACTCATACATCTTGTGCTTGCAGCCACCTAACAAACTTTGCAATCCTTATGGCCCATAGGGAAATTGCGGTAAGTAATGATGCTTCTAGTCAGTATAGAGCAAACCTTTGAAGGTTTGGCTTTAATATGTAGAAGAAAGCAAAAGTTCAGATGCTTATCCAAATCTCAGACATATCTCTGAGCATTTCCAACTTTCATGCATCACTTCCCAGCGCAGCTTCTTCTCCATATGACTGGACAGGTTTCTGGTCCCTCCATTCAATTTCTAGCCCCATGCCTTTAACAAACTCCCAGATACAGTTGGATATGAATTGTGGAGAATCTTGTGTATTCTATGCCCTCCCTTAAACACAAGCTGCTATACTAATGATAAGGTCCAGCAGCCTCTTTACTGGGTTCTTCAAACTTCCCTGCACTATGGAGCTTTTCCATCTAGCTGCACACCAGGGTGCCTATGAGATTTCTAAAGTCCCAGAGCATGTGACATTTGAACAGCTCTGGGACTTTGCCTGGACATTGTGCACTTTGGAGAGCGGCTAAATAGGGAAGCCCAAGAGTGCCTGCAAATATAAACCTAGCAGCAGCATAGCCCAGCAAAGAAGCTGCCAGTGAGTTGCTGAACCATACAACCAATATAAAAAACAAAACCAAGGAGAATGACAGGGTTGACTCTGTGGCCAGTGAAAGCAAGGACAATCTTCTGAACCAGTCTTTACCTGAAAATGAGATTTGAGTTTGTGTTGTAAGTTGAAGGGTCAGCTGAGTTACTCTGCTTTTTTTTTTGTTCTAATTGATTTCTTCATGATGAATGTGCACATACTTGCACTCAGGCTTTTTGAATATAGAGTCCTAGGTCTGTAGGAAAAAAACAAAGTTTTCTCTTATAGACTATTATAAGAATTTTCTTCTGTATCCGCACGTGTGTACAGCAATACATTCACGGTACGAGTCTTTTCCACAGAATTTTCTTCAAGCTTACAGGTCACCATGAAAAAAGTAAAAATATTATCTGATCTAGTTCAAATTTCTATCTCTGTGCACTCAGAGCTGCGTTTCTTGCACCCACACTAATCCTGAACAGCAGATAAGCCTGACATAAGATTAATAAAATACTCAGCACTTCTGTCATCTATAAAATTAATCAGGAATTTTCTAGCTGTTACCTGTTTAAATGATCTTCTGTTTGTACTGATAAATGGCCATATTAATTTTCTCCATTCTTGATTATTTTCAGTACAAAGATGGAGTGCATGAGCTACTCCTTACTGTCATCACCTGGGTGGGAATTGTCATCTCCCTTGTATGCCTGGCCATCTGCATCTTCACATTCTGTTTCTTCCGTGGCCTGCAAAGTGATCGTAATACTATTCACAAGAATCTTTGTATCAACCTATTCATTGCAGAGTTCATTTTCCTAATAGGCATCGATAAAACAGAATACAAAGTAAGTCTGTGTGCATATTGATCTTGTTCTGTGAAAATGACTGTTTGAAATGGATGTGAATTTAAATATGACACCACTGCCAAGCTTTCAAGTTTCTGAATGTAACTGACACAGCAAGGCCAGGATAAAGGGCTACTAGGATGATCTGAGGAATGGAAAACTTGTCTTATGAAAGGAGACTCAAGGAGCTTGGCTTGTTTAGCCTAACTAAAAGAAGGTTATGGGGAGATATGTTTGCTCTCTATAAATATATCAGAGGGATAACTACTGGAAAGGGAGAGGAATTATTTAAGCTCAGTACCAATGTGGACTCAAGAACAAATGGATATAAACTGGCCACCAGGAAATTTAGACTAGAAATTAGACGAAGGTTTCTAACCATCAGAGGAGTGAAGTTTTGGAATAGCCTTCCAAGGGAAGCAGTGGGGGCAAAAGATCTATCTGGCTTTAAGATTAAACTCGATAAGTTTATGGAGGAGATGGTATGATGGGATAACATGATTTTGGTAATTAAATATTCATGGTAAATAGGCCCAATGGCTGTGATGGAATATTAGATGGGGTGGGATCCTAGTTACCCAGGAAAGAATTTTCTGTAGTATCTGGCTGATGAATCTTGCCCATATGCTCAGGGTTTAGCTGATCACCATATTTGGGGTCGGGAAGGAATTTTCCTCCAGGGCAGATTGGAAGAGGCCCTGGAGGTTTTTCGCCTTCCTCTGTAGCATGGGGCACGGGTCACTTGTTGGAGGATTCTCTGCTCCTTGAAGTCTTTAAACTATGATTTGAGGACTTCAATAGCACAGATATGGGTGTGAGGTTTTTTGTAGGTGTGGTGGGTGAAATTCTGTGGCCTGCGTTGTGCAGAAGGTCAGACTAGATGATCATAATGGTCCCTTCTGTCCTAAATATCTATAAATCTATGAAAAAAGGTGTTACAAAAGATTAAGATGGACATGTTCACAAATAATATTTGCAGGCATCAAAAATACCATTATAGCTTCTATTTCCCTCTTAAAGGGAAGTAGTGTTTTTCCATTCAGAAGCATATGTTAATAAAGATAGGTGATTTAAAGGGTACTTGTCAAACTAGTGCTGAAATTAAATGTTGATGTACCAGAAACATATGACCTTTCTGCACCAAAGACCTCTGAGTGTCTGATGCAACTTTTTGAAGCTTTGGTGAAATTCATCCCATCATTCAGAGCTCCGAGAGTGGCTTGGAATTTCATAATTTGGTAGAATTTCATCCAGCATTCAGCTACACAGGAGTGAATCTAAACTGGCTACTGATACAACAGCAGAACTTCCTAAAATAGTAAAAGCAAAGTTATTTTATATTAAAGCAGATAGAAAATTCGGATGGCTACATAAGAATTTTAAACAGAAGATATAAATAATACATGTAGAACCAACTGTTCTTTATTTATCTTCATGTACCAAATCATCTACAATATAAGTCTTGCAGCAGTGATAACATCCCAGTGCCAAAATTAAGGAATTGTTTTTAATGCTGTATATTCTTCTACAGTAAGAAATATTAATAAGTTGTTTCCATACTTAATGTACATAGTGCAATTGAGTATACTTTCTGCAGCTACTGTGGACATAATACATTACTAACATTTCTGAATATCTAGCGTATGTTTCTGACTAGCGAAAACTACTCTGGACTTGTGAAGGGTCTCTAGTAGAAATATATTCAGTTACTACCTTCGTAACAAAATTGCGTACTGTTTCATTTGCAGTGTATCGAATTAGCTAGGAAGGTTTGGGCAGTTTGTATTTTCATGTTTCTCTTTCTTTGCAGATTGCATGTCCAATATTTGCAGGCCTCTTACACTTTTTCTTCCTGGCAGCATTTGCCTGGATGTGTTTAGAAGGAGTGCAGCTCTATCTCATGTTAGTAGAAGTATTTGAAAGTGAATATTCTAGGAAGAAGTACTACTATGTTGCTGGCTACCTCTTCCCTGCCACAGTAGTTGGTGTCTCAGCAGCTATTGACTATAAGAGCTATGGAACAGAGAAAGCGTAAGTAATTGCAAGTGACCTGAGTGTTTTTCAAGTGAATAATTTTTTTAAAGCCTGTTAGCTGTCAGAGTGTCCCTGACAGACTAAAATAGCATCTGAAAGCTTTATTGGTAAGAGAATGGCAATGCCATGCACAAATTACAATCAAGTCTTTTGTAATTTTCTAGGTTCAGAGGATTTGTACTCTGGAGAGGCAGATTCTAAATTATGGTCTTTCTTTTAACACAAAAGATTGACCTGAAACAAATTGAAAAAGTAAATAACTTTTTGGCCTCAAATGGATATTAAGTAAAAATTCTTCCGAACTTAAAGTGTCTGACAGGCTTAACCACCCAGTTTTAAGCTAATGCTTCATTAGATCTCTTTGTTCAGCTGGCCCTCTGGCTAACTCTCATTCTGAAATATGACAGTACAATATTCCAACCTATATGTTTTACTTCGATAATATTTTATCAGAAGGGTAGAGCAGGATTAAAATTACCCATTGCCTTTTATTTATAAAAATACAGATATTTATAGAAAGTGACAGAAGGTAGACATAAAATGTTTCTGAGGATTTGAGTTGCTGGAGGCATGAATTTGCTTTCCAATGGCGTTTTACTTTGTCCTTTGATGAAATTAGTTACAGTATGGGAAGATATTGTTGGCTTCTAGAAAGCTGCTTGATTTTGTTACTGATGAAAGACAAATAAAAGAGATTCAGCAGGGGGCTGGGCTATATGAAAAATGAACCACTAAGTGAAGCCACCCGATAAGTTTATGCATCATTTACTTTAATATCATATGTGTTTTTTCTTACTATTCAACTCCCAGATGGGGTATTTTATTTATATCATACTGTTTTGCAGCAAAACATGACATCTGAACATTTTCTATCTTGCATTCTTCAGGAATGAGCACTTTGTTTATGATACAAAGTTAAAGGCAAATTTTGAAAATTACATAGAAAACCTATGAAAATAAAGCATTTACTGATGTCGGGTTTCATCAGTCCATAGCAAAAACTTAGAGTGAACCTAAAAAGAGAGAGAGAGGGTTTTTTAAAAAAACAAACAAATATTAGTTTTGGTATGTAAGGAGAAAACCAGAGCAGGTGATCAACAACCTTGTTAAAGAGAACCAAGAAAACAGCCCTAGCTAAGGGGAAATGGCCACGGTTAAGATGGTACTGTTTGTTCACTGTTGTTGGCTTATTGTCTATTCACAATGAAACACCTGTTCAAGATGGGTTTTGCACTTTCCATTTTTACAACTCAGGAGCCAATGTAATCATTTAACTTTCATTGCCTTTTTCACCACAGTTGCTGGCTCCACGTAGATAACTATTTTATCTGGAGTTTCATTGGGCCTGTTACCTTCATTATTCTGGTAAGAGTGCTTTCTTCTTTCCCCTCCATCCCCCCACCCCCCACCCTTTCCTTCCCCTTTATGCTCATTTTACAAAAGCAACAGCGTTGTGAAGGTTGAGTAACATCAATCATTACAAACCCTACTCTCAGAGTTTTATATGAAAATACTTACGGCAAATTTATGATGGGAACAAGGGACTGAAAAGAATGTTTAAAATATAGTTCTGACCAAATTATTAATGTTCAAAACTCAATTGGTGCTTCTTCACTTCTTCTTTTTGTCCTTATTATTTTAATACTAAAGGTCATATTGATATGGCAGTCATATGACAGATCAATACAGTACTAAATACAGATTACAAAAGGGCCATTAGTATTACTTCAGTCTATTGAGTCGGTTTTGCACATGCTCAAAAATTGTAACTAAATATTTATCCAACAGACTGGAATGATTCAAACAGAAGTTCCAATAGTCTGGGTAAATAATTATTATCTAATAATTATTATCTAATAATTCTGCATACATATGCTTATGTATGTGTATATTTGTAAGTGTTTTTTCCCCTATGTATATATATGCTATGTGTTCTATGTATAAAACATCTGTATAAAACACACTTACTTTTTTTTATATAAATAATAATGTATTGTGAACCCAATAGAAAACCCATGTGAGTCAGTCCAATTGGTTGTGGAAATATTTTAATTATATATATAATTTATTTTTTTAATTAAATATGGAGTGGTTAACTCATTCATTATCCATTCCTAGAATCATTCCAGTCTTTACAATAGATTGAACATGGTTGTATATTTAGCCAGGGGAAGATCTGCTGCAGTTATTTCAAACTCGTGGAAATAGAGATGTAAGAATTTGGAAGAAAAGTATATTCAAAATGAATTTAAAACTCAACTTTATGGTTGTGGCGTCAGAGCTCTGAAAGGTATAGCTGTGCTTGAGTGTGCACTGATATTTATTCTGTAGGAACATAAGAGAGAGTTCATAACTTCGATATTTTGGAATAGTGAAGTGGGTTTTATTAGTGTTTTTAGAAACCTACAGCAATTAAATACCAGATCCCATGAATTTATATAATGCCATGGTTGTGACAAAAGCCAAGAAATTAAAGTTTCTGACACTCCCTTCACTAGTTAGAGCTTTGTACTCTTGTATTATTTTTTCAAGGTTAGTTTGTCAGCCTTAATTTTTAAATTCCTGCCTTTTATTGATTTATACACTGAATTATTTAAGCACTTTTTTTGTATCTTATAATTTACACTGCCCCAAATTGTGAAAGAAAATTGGTGTATTTTGAATCTATGAATTACAATGAAAAGATGTGCCAGACCATCCAAGATAGGTAGGCTTGGTAGGATTTTATTTTTATTAAACGTTGGTAAAAGTCAATTTCACTGTACACACAGGGCAACAAAAAATATTTCCATTGATAATAATCAAAATTTATAGCTAGTCAGAGTAATAAAAATCTCGAGAACTGGGTTTAATTTAGGGGTATTCACTTCGTATATTTTGGCACGTAATGTTGACAAACTGTGTTTTAAAATTTATAAAGCTTTAACTTCTTGAATTTCAATGCCTATTGTCTTTAAATAATTATTGTCTGGCCCACTCCATAATTTCCCACACCTGTAAACATTTAAATAAGTAAAAATTGAAAAAAATGCTTAAAAATAAACATTGATATTGGTGTCAAAATTATATTTTAAAAAAATTGAATTATGCCAAGCCTATAGATAGGTGATTTATCCTTCCCTAAGATATCATGCTAAAGTATTTCCAGATGTATGTATCTCGGGATGTACTCTTTGTTTATTAGAAGGCCACCTTTGTTAAACAATGGAGTTTTTTCAACCCATTGAGCAGGGACACTTAAGAAAGGACAAGTGCACAATGTGCAAATAGATGCTTCATTTTAAAGATACAGTCACAGTGCTGAAGGATCTGTTATGTAAAATTTCCTCTTCTTTTCTCAAATGTCAAAGTGTGTGTATGTATATGTGGGGAGAGTGAGAGAGAGATAATAGTCTCCTTGAGGTATGAGGAATGTGGTCAACTAAGAATGTAGTACAAAGTTTAGTCTATTTAAAAAGTTTAAAGTAAAGGAAATCCCTCCCACTTTGGAATTTGATTCAGAACTAAGCCTTCAACTATATTTACAAGGCATTTTTAATACAGTAGGTCATACTCTTTCAATAGGAGAAGTTGTACACAGTCCTTGCTTACAGACACCCCCCCAACCTGAAGCAAATACTCACCAGCAACCACACACCACACAACAAAAACACTAACCCAGGAACCTATCCTTGCAACAAAGCCCGTTGCCAACTATGTCCACATATCTATTCAGGGGACGCCATCATAGGGCTAATCACATCAGCCACACTATCAGAGGCTCGTTCACCTGCATATCTACCAATGTGATATATGCCATCATGTGCCAGCAATGCCCCTCTGCCATGTACATTGGCCAGACCAGACAGTCTCTACATAAAAGAATAAATGGACACAAATCAGACGTCAGGAATTATAACATTCAAAAACCAGTCAGAGAACACTTCAACCTCTCTAGTCACTCTATTACAGACCTAAAAGTTGCAATTCTTCAACAAAAAAACCTCAAAAACAGACTCCAATGAGAAACTGCAGAATTGGAATTAATTTGAAAACTGGACACCATTACATTAGGCTTGAATAAAGACTGGGAGTGGATGGGTCATTACACACAGTAAACACACAGAGTCTATTTCCCCATGTTTATCCCCACCCCCACCGCACTGTTCCCCACACTTTCTTGTCAACTACTGGAAATGGCCCACCTTGATTATCACTACAAAAGGTTTTGGCGTTTTTTTCCTCTCCTGCTGGTAATAGTTCACCTTACCTGATCACTCTCATTACAGTGTGTATGGTAACACCCATTGTTTCATGTTCTCTGGGTCTATAAAATCTCCCCACTGTATTTTCCACTGCATGCATCCAATGAAGTGAGCTGTAGCTCACGAAAGCTTGTGCTCAAATAAATTTGTTAGTCTCTAAGGTGCCACAAGTACTTCTTTTCTTTTTGCGGATACAGACTAACATGGCTGCTACTCTGAAACCTGTCATGATTGCTATGATCATTTAAAGAAAACTGTTCTAAGTCTGTTGTCATACAGTTCAGCTAGTCAGTGCTTTAGGGTCTGGTTATAAGTGTTTTTTGTTTGTTTTTGTTTAACTTATTACTGTAAGCACTTTCTAGGTCACGTCTCTCTATTTTATATAACATTTCACTTGAGGGAGCTAGAAGGGGGCTTTGCTGCGGCCATTTATGTGTCCTCATAACCAGGTCAGAGTGAGAACAGAGGTGAAGGACATTTAAATTATATTGACCATGTACAGTCAGAGTCCACTATTATTTATCGGCCATGATATTATTATCCTCCAGCAAATCATTTAGACTAAGTGGCTAAAGGCCTTTGGGAGCAGTATTCCCAACTTCACAAATATGAAACAGCAGGTAGCAATCACAGCCTAGTTCCTGGGAGTAATTCTTCTCCTGCAATTGCTTTGCCTTCTAATCGTCCAACTGAGAGAGTGAGAAAGAGAGAGGGAGATGAGTAATGGCTGAAAAATAATATCTCATGTGCAGCGTAACCAGAGAAGAGCCATGTTTGTAGAGTAGGGTATTCATTATCAATGGTATGAAAGACTTTAATATTAGTAATCTTTTGAGCATCTGTTACTAGTTTAAATTCTCTTTTATGATGTTTATTAATGAAATAATATGCATATTCTTAGACAATATTGTTTGCTGCTTTAATTTCAATTGCATTAAAATCTGTACACGACAACGTGAGGGTCTGTGAGGGAAAACTGCCTTCTGACGAAGACATAAAACTTTCAACTTTAGTATTTCCATAGACTGTCATGCCTATGGGCACCAGGGTCATTATATCTATGAGAAAAGAGCATGTAAGTAATGAGCGGTGGGAAACCATTAGTATGCCTGAAACAGTTTAATGAAAGCTTGGATCATGATACATCAGGAGCTGTTCTCATCATTTGGACAGTTCCATCTGCATCTTTAATAATTAATTCAGTTCAGTAAGAGTTCAGCTTGCACACTCATTTAGAAGCCTTCTTCAGAGAACACCTCTTTGGCTGCCAGTCCCAGAGAGAAATAGGCTTCTGCATGGCTAAGAGCAAAGATCTGCAGATACACAAACAGTTTTAGAGCTGCATTTGCCAGGTAACAAAAGCTCCAGGGAGGACAAAAAGGGTCAGAACATGTGCAGTTCAACTAGGTTACTTCAGAGTGGTGTTTCTGTTCTTCTGTCTTATCATATCCATGTCAGCACTGCAGGCTGTGTGGAATGAATTTTAAACTGCTAAGCTCAGGCAGGCAGGATTCAATTGAGCAGGTTGATGGCTATAAAACAAACAGTATGCTCCCATAATCTGTGGTCAGAAAAGCCCGAATTATTTTGACTTCTATATAGCTCCATGTTCATTCATACCATTAAGATGGATGAAGTTGGTTAGACTCTTGCTCAGCCAGGACTACTGGGGTATGATCCTCACAGATGGAGCTAATAAATTCGCCCGGTAAAGGTTATTTAAACAAAGATTCCGAGATGTTCTATTTAATCAATACAGGAAAAATGTGTGGTCATTTTATTCATACTGAAATATGTTATTTCACTGGTATGTCTCTGTGTGTGTGTATATATATATATATATATATATATATACACACATATACATACACATTATATGTATATAAATATATATTGTAGATGTGTGGTTTTATACGTACACACATGCTAATTATGGCAGTGAAAGACGTGATAAATTGCATTTGTCATATTCCTGACTTTCATTCTGCCACTTATCTATCTTTCTTAGGATTCCTAGTCTTTCAGACCTCTCTGCAGCTTATAGCAAATTTTTTTTCAAATGCACTTGAGACAAAAATATTTCCCTCAAAATTACACTGGTCTGATGCGCAGGACAGACAG